GCAAGCCAGAGCATCATTCCCTGCACAGGCGAGCACTGTGATGCTTCTGAGATATTTCGAAATGAAAGGCGCTTTATAAAATAGAGGTTGTTATTATGATATTGTGGTGTAGCTGACTTCTGCTGGTGTCCGAGCCAGCGGTGGGAAATTCCACGTTCCCATAACAAGGGCCAATTGCTCAGCATGAGAGCCACTGTTGTTCACACAGTGGTATTATTTTATTATTGCGGGATTACTGAGTCAACTCACAGACTGGGATTTGTATCTCCTGCAATAGTGAGTCCGTCGCTCTGGCATAGCGTGACCAGGCCAGGTTTATTGTCCAGAAAAAAACACAAATATTCCAAAAAAAATAAGCGTGTCGTTCTGAAAAAGTTGTTACACAATCTCCCAACTTCATTCACGTAAATGATTAATTTTGGAAATGTACAAAGTGTTGCCCTGCTAAAATGCAATTAAGTCTCTAAATCAATTACATCCGTGGGTCATGGACGCTTTGCTGATGAGATAGACTTGCTGTAGTTGTGTGACAGTTGGTTTCCCAGTGTTTCACACTTTTAATTAACGCATTAGTAGCACGTCGGCTCTGAAAGTGTAGAGAACGCAATACATCTTAAATGCCTTAAAAAAAAACTCTTTTGCACTTGAAATAACTGGTTATACCGACACACACTGACCTAAATTATTACTGAGAAGTATCCGACACTCATTATCCCGTATAATCCAGTTACGCGTGAACACAGCCCAACACCAAAGGTCCTTTTCAGGGTGAAACTTACCGCAGTGTGGGGCCGTCACTACGTTTGTACCATCTGAATGTAGAGTGCCTATCAAGGCCCACGTGCAACTTCTTGGGACGTTTCCTCAAACTCCACATGATCGGCGTGTTCCCGCTCCACGAAATCCGTACAGCCGACGACCAAAAAGCCTCAGAAATGAAAATCCCCCCTGGATTTCTAGGAAAGCTGCCAGCCACCACCATCCCAAGCACGGACTAGCAACGTCACGTGACATCCCATCTCAAGGACCTCAGCACAACGAACCCAGAAAATAACTCACCGACAGCCATCATCATCAGCATGGAGCCCAAACATGCTGCCTGCCGTGACCCATCCTGCGGTTGCCTGCCAGTGACTTCAACAGCCATCACACAGCCTGGGGATATGTAACCCATCGACTGGGCCGCAACTGGTAATCTGTTCCTTCTGTTCGATGCTAAAGATCGACGCACTTTCTATTCGGTACGAATGGTAGCGTGGATTTTTCTCCAGGTCCTCTGGTTTTTCCCTCCACATTCAGAAACATTCGTTTAGAGTAAATCACGACGTTTCAAGTGCAACACAAGCGTCCGTTATCAGGTGGGAAAGCATGGTCTGCTGCTGAGGCAGACTGTTTTAAAAGGTTTGAAATGAGTGTAGCCCAAGGGTCACAAAGAAGTGGCCGGGGCTAGTGATGTTAATGTGAGAACTTATCATGTAGCTGTGAGATAGGAGGAGAGCGGCCTCCTGGACGAGGGCACGGAAGTGGCTATGTTAATGTGAGGGATTAGAATGATGTTAATGTGAGAAATTAGAGGGCACGCAAGTGGTTATGTTAAAGTGAGAGATTAGCATGATGTTAATGTGATAAATTAGAGGGCACGCAAGTGGTTATGTTAAAGTGAGAGATTAGCATGATATTAATGTGAGGTATTAGCATGTAACTGTAGAAAAGAAGTAGAAGAACGGCCTCCTCGACGAGGGAGTGCAACCCAACGGGTGTAATCCGAAGGGCCTGTCAGTATGAGAGTGCAATCCAAAAGACATGTGAGCATGAAAGTGCAATCCAAAGGCATGAGAGTGCAATGCAACAGACGTGAGCATGAAAAATCTAAGAGAGAGGCCGAGAGAGAGAGACACACACAGAGTCGAAATAACAGCTGACATAGGCAGGTAGGATGGAAACATCACAGTCAGTTAAGACTTTACCTAGTTAATAACGTCCTTCCAATAATTGCTCAGTTTGTACCCATCCTGCAACGGCAGAGGTATTGGTCCTACCGTGTTTCAGATCTGACTTGTTCACGAACGCGGTCCGAGACATGTCGTTTCGTTTCCCCAATGTAGCTGCTGCCGCAACCACAGCTCAGTTTGTAGACACCCGGGTATTGCATGTCAGGAATCACATCCTTTTACAGATGGGATTAAATCACTGGATCTTGTGTTGGTTTAAGATTTTGGAAATCTTTTTGGTAACCCCTGCTATGTACGGTAAAGTGATGGTTTTGGTTGGATCCTCAGAAGGTTGTCTCCGCATGGCTGGGGAGACAGCTTTGCGGATTGTATAGTCCGAGTATCCGTTCATCCTGAGGGCTTGGTGTAAGTGCTCCAACTCACTGGCTAGGTGGTGCTGGTCGGAGATGCAACGGGGCCCTATGGTGTAGTGTTTTGATGAGGGAATTCTTCTGGGCCGGATGGTGGTGGGAGTCAGGCTTTAGATAGGCATCCGTGTGGGTGGCTTTCCTGTAGACAGAATGTCCCAACGAGCCATCAGGTCTCTTCTCGATCAAAACATCCAGGAATGGAAGCTTGCCATCCTTTTCCACTTCCATGGTGAATTTGATAGACGGGTGAGTGGAATTGATGTGATTGAGAAATTGGTTCAGTGCTGGCAGGCCATGTGGCCAAATGACAAACGTGTCATCTACGTATCTCCTCCTCAAGGACGGACCTAGGGTCGCTGTCTGGATGGCCTCTTTCTCAAAATTTTCCATGAAAACATTCGCTACCACTGGCGATAAGGGAGAACCCATTGGGGTACCTTCATTTTGTCTGTAGAATGTACCATTCCAGGTGAAGTATGTGTTGGTAAGACAGTGCCTTACCAAAGTTGGTACATCTGGATTCAGTCCTTGTTGGACCAAGTCTTCAATGATTGCAATCGTATCAAGTACAGGTACATTAGTGAACAGAGAGACTACATCGAAACTAACAAGCAAATCATCCGGAGACAGTGAGATGTCCTTATTTAGAGAAACCAAGTGAGCTGAGTTAAGTACAGCTGAGGTGGACTTGCCCGTTGAGGAGGCCGCTCTACTATCTTACAGTTACATGCTAATTTCTCACATGAACATCACTAGCCCCGGCCACTTCTTTATGACCCTTGGGCTACACCCATTTCACACCTTTTAAAACAGTCTGCCTCAGCAGCAGACCGTGCTTTCCCACCTGATGACGGACGCTTGTGTTGCGCCTGAAACGTCGTGATCTATTTTATTTTCTACCTACGTGACTTTACCGAAAGAACCAAAGAGATGGATTCCTGCAGTCACGAAAGCTTCAAATCAAGATTCGTTTAGAGTATTTAGTTGCTATACATTTCCACGTGATAAGCCACTCCGCTGAGCTCTCATTTGTGGCCAGGTCGCTTCTGAAAAAGGAGCCGAACAGTTCAACAAAGACCGCGGAGAATCTGTCGGTGTGTTGGCTCCTCCAGGAGCCACGCAACTGTGGAGGACCTTGCCAGGGCTACAGACCAAGCCACATCATCATCATCACCGTGTGCCTGATACTGGATAAACATGTCAGGACACGAGCATAAGTCAGAAATGACAAATATTTGTCAAACTAAATTTAAACCATCTGCACCGGACACACAATGGTCAGGACAGCCAAAGCAAAAACGTGATTCAAAGGTGATCGTGTGCGGCATCAGGACAGGCGTTGTACGGTCTGACTGCTGTGGAATTGGGATCATGACCGTACACGTGCTTGAGTGAAATCAGGTAGCGTGTCCTGTCAGGCTCCACTAGAGCGCTAGTCACACGTGATGCATGGAGATGGGGGCTGACCGAACCGAAATCAGTGACCCGCAATTACAACTTGGGATCTGTGAGAGCAGCATCAATCTATACGCAACTGGATTTCAAACCACACACGTCAACATACGTTCATATTGATTTGACCGTGACTGTATTTATTTTAAATGTAATATCACCTCCACTCAAGGCGGGGTATCAAACCATTGCACACTAAAATAAAATGCAAAGACAATTGAGTAATGTTTCAGTAAAAGGCCACGAGAAAAGTGAGTCTCGCACTCCTAAACACCCTGTGGCTCGTAGCGATCTTTGGGGCAACCCTGGAGAAGGCCCGACCCCCAGCGTCGAGCGCAAGAGCCGAGGCTGGGAGAGTAGTCGTAGTAGTCGCTCCTGCTCTGAAGAGCGAAGTAGAGCATCAACCCCAGCCGTGTGGCAGATCACTCGGGACCCCAGGTACCTTGGTCCAAGACCACGCAGAGCTTTATAAACCACATTGGCTAACTTATACAACGAACATGCAGCGAGGCTTGCTATTGTTTGCACCAACAGCTGCAGTGGGGGCATCTGTTGGACCTCAAACCCCAGGGCCAAAAATCCGAAAATTTGCTGGCGTTCGTGCACCGTCACTGGGGTGGTCGTTGCGCGTGCGTGGTGGCGCATGTTGAAAATCAAGCAATTTTTTTTTACAATTTCATACAAAGTTGTCTACATTTGGCTTGCTGTATGTGATAAAAAATATATTGGCACGAGAAATGTATTGCTACAGGATACTGCATCTAAGCTGGACCCAGAGTGAATGTAGAAGAAAAAAAGTTGCATAGAAGACGACCTGATGCAGGCAGTGATAAATGAGAAGAGGAACCTGGCACGATTTGGACACATGTAGGATGGACAACAGCAAAATGAAGTGTGTTGTTCAGAAAAATGGAAGGAACCAGACAGAGGAGAAAAGCTAACAGATGGCTTGACGACACGAGAGATTAGTGCCAGAAATATTTGGCCACTACTTGCCAATATTGGTACAAGAGGAAACTGGAAATAAATGCTGAAATGTCCAGCGAATACCCACGGGCTATCTGCCCATGGATCGTAATGATAACGGTGTGATAAAAACAAGTCGAGGCTCCACAGGCTCATCTCCCTCCCACTCGTGGCTTGTGACCTTAGAGCCAAGCCAAGAACCAGAATGCACTAAACGGGGTACGTGACAGTCACAGAGTCTTTTATTTTGTCACCTTTATTAAAAAAAGAAAATGTTGAGACAAAAAAAATAACTTACACAACTGGGAAAAATGTTCCGAGAATAAAAGTCCCGCCAAACGCAAACGCCGCCAGTTACAAGGTCCGGTCTCATTCTCCAGTGTGGTTCCATCTCCAACCGTCACCCTACCCGGTGGTCATCCTCGCAGCAGCGGTGCCATCTTGGATAGCCATTGGACAAAGACGCTCGCCGCGCCGCGCGCTTTCGTGGCCGACTGGAATGCTCTCTTCCTTCCGATATTAGGAAGCTACTGGGAGCTATGCGCTTTTAAATCAGAATCTAGATTGAAAACTAATTCCTTTAAAACTTTGTGTTTCGTTTTGTTGTCCTTCTCCCGCACCTCCGATTAGCACGGATGGCTACGTATGGTGCGAAAGAAGTTCAACATACATACATCTTTTCTTACCAGCTCGCTCACCCTCCCTCTAACTGATGCTGAAGTAACTTTGTATTGTAGATTCTGATAACCTGTGTTGAATGGAAACCTTAAAACAAATAATATTTGGCTACAAATAGAATGGCATCATGAAAAAAAGTAGCACTATAATTTCCAAACACAAAAAAAACCTAATCTGTTCAAAGAAGATCGGTAAGAACTTAGAAATATTGATGAAAGAAATTGGCAATGCATGTCATACACCGACACTTTAAAGTTAAACCAAAAAATTATTATGCGCAATCACGAAGATACTTTTGGAATTTGGACATTTGTGAAATGTATGATTTAAAATTTAAAACCCTAAATATCCATCCACTGTGCGAGACTTTTGTAATGCCCACATCTGGCGGTGTGGGTGTGTGCCAGCCTGTGGCAACCTGTGGCAGCCTGTGGCAGCCTGTGGCAGCCTGTGGCAGCCTGTGGCAGCCTGTGGCAGCCTGTGGCAGCATGTGGCAGCCTGTGGCAGCCTGTGCCAGCCAGTGCCAGCCAGCAGGGCTTGTCCTCACTGCACCAGGCGGTAGGTGATGTAGCGTCCGGCCGTCTCACTGGGCCGGATGATTTTCACCACCTGAAACACAATCACGCACACACCACCACCACACACACACACAGACATACCACCACCACATGTTATTTTGATCTAAATATCATGTTCTCACAAACTAGTCACAAAAATGACACTTTGCATCATTTACAGTGCAGTAGTATACGTTCATTATCACCACTATCAGCCATGGTCAACCCACTGCTGGATGAAAGCTTCTCCAAGTTTCCACCATTTCCCATGATCACGTGATGTACCGCAATGCCAGAATAACATTTTTCTAAATCAGAATCAGAATATTCTTTGTACTGGAGGATTCCGATGAGCTATAAAGCTCTATTTTTGTTTTTACAGATGTCCAGTAGGGGCACGGGGTCAGAACGGTACAACACAAAAAACGCGATAGGAGTGCAAAGTATAGGAAAGGTAAACAACGTGATTGGCGTAATTGTGTTTTTATTAACTAGCAGCCCGCACTGTCCTTGGGATGTGACCCAAAGCGTTTTTCTAATTTAACTTATGTTATATAAATAATAAATTACGCTTTCATTTTTTTTTGTTAACCTGAGTCTCAAGACTCTTTTTCAGGACGGTTCTGCCAGGTAGTGAATTTGCTCCCGTAGGTAATTCCAACTCAGCAACTTGCAATACCGTTTTACAGCTTTGGGATGTTTAGCCAACATCAACGACAATTCATGTATTTGTTTGCAATGGGAGGAAACTGGAGAACCCGGAGGAAATCCATGCGGAGCGAAGGCAGAACATACAAACTCCACAGAGAAAGGCATCAAAGTTGGGAATCGATCCCAGAGCCATGTTGCTGTCAGGTACAAGTGTGACTACTGCGGCATCACCCATGAATGTAACAAAATTAAACACACACACATCTCGACTGGAATATTGCGGATTTTCACGATGCAGTATTTAACCTTGAAACATTGAATCGGTTTTCTTTGTTTGGCGTTGGCCGGGAGAGTTGGGCGAGGAATGCAGCTCACCTGGCCGCGCTTGAGCCCAAAGTACCTGGCGACGGGGTCGCCCTGCTGGATGCGAGGCAGCTGAGACTCCTTCAGCTTGCTGCGATTCCGTCAAGGAGGCAAGCGGCAACGCGAAGAGTCCCCCAGCGCACCGGGCGCTAAGCGTGCGTACACCGGCGCAGTCCGCACGTGCGTCATCACAAGCACCCCCACACGCACGCACGCATCCCTGAAGCCTTTTGCCGTGGTTACATCGATGGGGACTCGACGGTATTATTTTTATTCCAGAAATAAAAGTTGAACCGTAACAGTTTAGCAGCGATTCAGGCTTCCTGGATTAATCCGTCTTCCTGGATCTTGTCCTGGTGCTGTTTGACATAGTTTTAAATAAAATGTCACATCAGATTCCTAAACTTAGTTGTGAGGATTGTTCTTCAACTCACCGTTAAGCTGAAACAATAATTGGCACATTAAACTTGGCCCTCTTGGGCCATGTTGGGTGCTAGAGGCTTCTAAACGTCACAAATTTAGTCCGATTATTACATAGCCTCACACAAATCAAACATGAATCATACTAGCGATGGAATCCTCGTTGTTAAGTTCATGTGTATGTTTCGATTTAACGCTTTCGTGACTGCAGGGATTCATCTTCTTAGTTCTTTTGGTAAAGTCACGTAGAAGGGAAGTAATAAAATAATAAAAATAAAACGCAAGCAGCCGTCTTCACCTGAAGACGGCTGCTTGCGTTGTACCCGAAACGTCGTGAGAATTATTTTATTATGTTTTATTTTTATTATTTTATTACTTCCCTTCTACGTGACTTTACCGAAAGAACCAAGAAGATTCATGTGCATGGTGCGTGCATAGTGGCCAGGCAGCGGCTGGCCAGCAGCGGAGGATACTATCGTGCCAGGAGTTCCGTCACCTCTTCCTTCGTCATCACGTTGTGCTCTGGGACCAACTGCACACACACACACAGATAGACAAAGATCCCCCATATAGCCTTTAACAGATTGTTGGGGCAAGTGCTGTTTGCGAGCACCTATGAAGGCTGGCACGGCACACAAGGGGGTGGATGGCTAGCACCATGCCCGGCCGCTTTGTCTGCCCAGTGTTGATGCTTACAAATCGTTGCATGTGGTCATTTAAATACCGGTGAAAATGTTCGCTACGGTTATTGGTTGAGAGTGTTAATCCGGACTCGGGTCGCTGGGTTCATAGCGCAGTGTGCTAACCACTGCACTACCACTCCCCCATTGCAGACAAATACATATGCAGATAATCACAAAGCTGTACACACACTGGCACATCTATGTGCGAGCACATGCCCAAGTCCTGGATGTCAACTCATATGACCTGGTCACAAACAGAATATTCTGAGACCTATTTTGCCAGCATCAAGATGATATAAAAATAAAAGGGTGTAACCTTTCTGGCAATAATACAGGCGGTGTTAAGATGCTCAAACACCAAACAGGCACCTATGACAAGACATCAAGTCCGCATTAACCACACATGCTTGTTGGTGAAACACGCAAACAAATATGGTTTGATAGTGTATGCAGTGTCCTTAAAATTGAGTGGCCTGCACTCGAGGGGAGACAGCCGCTTTCATGGCTTTGTCTCACCAGTGCTGAAGCCCAAAGAACACCGAAAGGCAAAGAGCACAAAGTCAGCCGTCAAACGTGGTGGGGGGGCTCCATTTCTGTATTTGAGAAAATGTAATGTCACTCGATGAATCTAGGATTGGAAAAATATTCATGCAATATTCGTACGTGCGCCTTTTGGCGTCATCTGGTCGAACACCATATGAGACTAGGCTCTAAGAAAAGCTGTTTCTGGTGTGGACCAATCATTTCCAAGGACAATGCATAAATTATCAGTATTGTTTTTTGTTTGCACTGCAAGTATTGTGGTTAATGTAAACACGATTTCTTGCAAAAGGAGTCAGTTTTGTTGCCAGAAAAAAGGTGAAAAACCCTAGTAGAATATTCGTATTGTACTCTGTTAGATCAAATCGAGGTGCATTAATATACGCCAGAACAGATCCGATGTGTAAGGCCACAGTTGTATTGATGAACCTGTTGAGTTTTTGTTGTTGTTGTTAACCTCCAATACAATTTGGGAAGGGTTCCACAGACGATGTCAATTCGCACACGTAACAATGATTTCCTTTGGATAGTTTCCAACAGGGACCATGATATCCTTGTAGAAAGACGACAAATTGTATCACGGATTGGTTGAATACTCAACCTATATAATAAATGACCGTTGAGGGATAGCGTGTGAGAGCTGAATATGCAATGCCAGTAATTATAACCAACGCATGCAGAGTTCCAGAAAACCTCCTGAGTTCTGTTACCTCGTGCTCTGTAATGTTGATGAGAAGCTCTTGCTGCAGAAACTGCTCCAGGATGTATTTCGGAGCCATGTCAACCAAAGACTGTGACATACAACATCACAACACACACAGCAAGTTAACCACAGACTGTGACATACAGCATCACAACACACACAGCAAGTCAACCAGAGACTATGACATACAGCATCACAACACGCACAGCAAGTTAACCACAGACTGTGACACACAGCATCACAACACACACAGCATGTCAACCAGAGACTGTGAAACATAGCATCACAACACGCACAGCATGTCAACCAAAGACTGTGACACACAACATCACAACACACACAGCATGTCAACCAAAGACTGTGACACACAACATCACAACACACACAGGAAGTCAACCAGAGATGTCACACACAGCATCACAACATCACAACACACACAGCATGTCAACTAAAGACTGTGACATACAGCATCACAACACACACAGCAAGTCAACCAGAGACTGTGACATACAGCATCACAACACACACAGCAAGTCAACCAGAGACTAGGACATACAGCATCACAACACACACAGCATGTCAACCAGAGACTGTGACATACAGCATCACAACACACACAGCAAGTCAACCAGAGACTAGGACATACAGCATCACAACACACACAGCATGTCAACCAGAGATGTCACACACAGCATCCCCGCATCACAACACACACATCATGTCAAGCACAGACTGACACACCGCATCACAACACACACAGCAAGTCAACCAGAGATGTGGCACGCAGCATCAGCACGCACAGCATATTAAACCAGACTGTGATACACATCAGCACACAGCGCATCACAACATACACAACATGTTAACCACAGTTACACAACGGGATCGCAACACACACACAATGTCAACTAGGAATTGTAACACAGAACGGTTTCAGTCGAGTGTCTGCAACACAGCGGCACAGTAACAACAGCAGCTGCCGTTCGTCACAACAGAGCTTGTGTCTGGCTGGGTGCACTTTGAGGCCATGTGAAGTGTCAATGGCTCACTGATGGGAGGTCACGGGACATATCCAGATGCTACGGGTTAACCGACTGGGATGACTGGCAGATGCACCACCTGTGCTCCCCACTAGGCCAACTTGCTACGTTTCATCTGCCCGGCGCGCCGCTCATTGTTGCGAGCATCGCTACTCCCAAAGACACAGCTCACACACAGGCACCTGCATACACATGTGTAATCTTCTCCAGTCTCAGCATGTGTGCCCCATCTCTCTTCCATGTCATCTCATTTAATTCCACGTGATTCTGTGTCTCATGGCTAGTTCACCGCTCTCTCAAGCCCCCCTTGTGTGTGGCTCTCTCCGAGTGCGCCAGGCTTCTCATTCTGACTTCTCCTGCACGTCTGCCATATGTAAATACCTCCTCCTTATCTCTCTCACCTAGAGACCCGTGTCTCTTATCTTCCTGTTCTTTCTTCTCCATTAACTCCATGCAAGTGTTAATACTTTCCTTCGAGACCTCTCATGACCGTCTCTCTCTGCCTTCCAGATCTCCACTGCCACTGTCTCTCTCTAATCTCATTTCACCGTGATTTCCCACTAAGCCCTTGCCTTCATTTCTTTGAAATTGAATTATATTTGATAAAAAAAAGCCCCAAATTGAAAATGAAAAGAAAAAGTAAATACAAGAAATAAAAAGCAAGGACGTTTCAAACTGATCACAAACTCAATGCCGGGCATCCACCAAGAACATTCACAACGCCACCACCCAGGCTAATGTCACGCCAACCACTGTGGACGAAAGCTGAGGTCCTTCTGGAATGGACCATCGCTGAAGACCGAAAAGTGGCGGCCCCGATGTGCGGGAATGCAGATGACAAAAAACATGAGCCCGATTGAAGATCCCACAGCCAAACCACCTGGCCTCGCGGTCACGAAGCCTTTCCCTGTTCACCTTGGGAGTGCGACGGACACGTGCTCTGGCTCCTACATTAACGTACATTTGACCACATAGTTCCAGAAGCTTTCGCGATCGCTTTACCAGAGGAATTTCCATCTGGTACAAATACAATGGGATAACTCTATATTGGTCAACCGTGTTATGTGTGCTGATGACCTGGTAAATGCTGCTCTCTCTGAGAAAGCATTGCGAGACTCAGCTACTGAAAATGGCACTAACAAGTGGAGCCTGACCATCATCCCCATAAAAACAAAGCAACTGCCTGGGTATTGTCATCAAACACTCCACCCCCTGAACCACACCGGGACCTCTCAAGGAGGGCGGTGTGGATCATATCTTCTGCACGAGCGGTGATGAGGGTTACAAGACGAACCGCGTTTCAGCTGTGCGGGCAAACTCACCCAACAGAACGCATTGTGAACAGTCGCCCCTGGTAATCCCTTCCCAGCGGGACGACAAAAAGTAATTTCTCCCATCAGACGATGTTCTTGACTTGCTATCTAAACTCCATCTGCCCTTGCAAATGTTGCTGTTTCTATACGACAGAAGAAGTCCTACACAAGGCCACTTCCATCCGAAAATTGTCCAGATTTCATCATTAAACATTTTGGCTGTCTCTTCATGCACGCTCCCTCTTGCTTAGCATCTTGTCACGAGTTAAATCGCCTACAGTGATGTGCACAGGGGAGGCCCCTTTCCCTAATGATTTGTGACGCATTTGCCGTTTCCTTAATGAAGTGTCTCTACATCACTTGCTTGGCTTTTACCATGTATTGTGAATTACTGTTTATCTTATGGAGACTGCTTTGTTGATGTAGATTACATGGCAGGGCTGCGGGTGTGAAACATTAGGTGCGAAATGAAGAAAGACATGCCTCCACCCGGGACCGTGGTGAAAAACACAGCGTTTTTATGATCAATGGAAAAATGTACCAGTCTTTGAAATTGGAGGATGAACACCACCAGCATGTTTTATTAGACTGAGGCAGGAGGAGTTAAAACCGACGGCTGATTCTAGGCCAGCGGTTGAGTAGTCATGTTCAAGGAGACACGTCAAGGATTGTGTCCATGCGATAGCTCGTGAGTACATAATTTCACAAAGAAGCAGGCCTGCAACTGAAGGCATGTTTTTCCGTTGGAATAATTCATCGAAGAAGTGACTTACACACGAGGTGAGCACACCAGTAGCAAATAATAATAAACACTACGTAGCCATGAGTGCATGATACTATATAATGCTGCTTATTCCCAGCTGATGTGGGTATAAAGTGTAGAGGGTTTGGGTTGCTGCATTGGGCCACATTGGGGGAGGGCCGCGTGGTGGGGCCATGTGGTGTGGCCGCGTGGTGGGGCAGCGTGGTGGGGCAGCGTGGTGGGGCAGCGTGGTGGGGCAGCGTGGTGGGGCAGCGTGGTGGGGCAGCGTGGAGGGGCCATGGAACGCGGCCATGTGGTGGGGCTGCGTGGCGCGTGCAGCGCTGCACCTGCTTGGCGGACGGCGTCATGCCCTGCTGCACCACGATGATAGCCCGGGTGATGTTCTCCTCCTGCATGCGCTGGCAGTAGAGCTTGATGGTCTTGATCCCCACCTTGGGCTCCTCTGTGACGGCACGGATTTGCACAGAGCACGCGTGTTACACCCACACGCGTGTTACACCCACGCGCATGTTACACCCACGCGCCGTGCCCCTCTAATCCAGCACACGCACGCATGGTCAGCGCAACGCACAGGCACTGACACTCGTGCGAGACATCCAACTGCAGAGTAGAGGTGGCTGGTAGATTGTAGTACACCAGCAGGTTGCTGACCAATCTGTATATATTTTTTGAAGTATTATCTCGCGATTTGCATGCGCTTCTTCCATCAGCACAAAAAATACATTAAGGAATTGACCAAACATTCCAATGACTATGGAATCAGTGGAGCTTTTCTGGATATATAAAGGACATTTTGATTATTCAACTGCCCTACCAGCAGCGAGCAAGTGCACTTGCAATTTTTGCTTGTGGACATGCGTATGCACATGCAGAGCTGCATGTACGTATAACTGAAATCACGAGTGCGCAAGTCACGTGCGTGTGTGGATATGGATTTGGATGTATGTGGGGAGCGGTAGTACAGCGGTTCGCGCGCTGCATTACAAACCCGGCGGCACGGGTTCAATTCCTGCTCACGGATCAACACCAGTGATGATTATTTTAATTGGTCCTGGGCCTCCCCTAGGTCAACTCTGCCTCAAATGAGTACCTGGTACAGTGTGTAAAACATCGCCACTCGCGAGACAAAGTGGTGCTGATTCTAGTTTTGAAGCTTTCGTGACTGCAAGGATTTATACTCTTAGGTTTTCTCGGTAAAGTCACGTAGGGGGAAAAAAATAATAAATAAATAAACATTCTAGAAATAATAATAGAAATCAAATAATAACTCACGACGTTTCGGAGGCAACACGTCTCCGTCATCAGGTGGGACCGTCACAGCTAAATTTACTGCATCAAGTGGTGCTGGCCGCCCACCCCCTGGTGTGCCGTGCCGGCCTTGATAGGTGCAGCTCGCTAACAGCACTTGCCCCAACAGTCTGTTAAGGCCACACGGGGGGATCTTTGTCTTGTGTCCGTGCGAGTTATCGTACCAGGGAAGAAGACGAACATCTGGTCGGTGGGGTCGTCGTTGTGGGCCACCAGCACGGTGAGGTCGGAGCGCCGGGGTCGTCCTTCGCTGGGCTTGTCCCCGAACTGAGAGCGGAACTCTTCCAGGGACTGGTCCAGCTCATCCTGGGTCACCAGGTACCCGCGGTCGTGGCACAGCTACACACGGTGGGACAGCGACAGATACACACGCAGTGCTGTACGTACGGACAATATGTTGAACTTCGTTCGCACCGTACGGGTAAAAGATAACAAACTAAACAGACAAAACAGTTCTAAAGAAATTAGTTTTCAATCACTACGTCTCTTCATATTCGCTGCCCCGCAAATCAGAGCGCCGCACTTAAAGGCGAAGTGGTGCAACTTTGAATTGCAGTGACAGGAGGAATTGCCGCCTCCAAAGATGTAATCTCACTTGTGTGCGAGCAAGTCGATACACTTCTAAAGTGTGCCAACAGCGCCAAAGCGTGGCCCCAAATCTAAACAAGTTGGCGGCCCTAAGCCAAACGTGTCAATTCCCTACATCAAACGCCAGGAGACGCATGGGGCAACTCCTGGGGATTCCTTCAAAGTGGTTCTAGTTCGATAATTGTTTTTTTACCCTTTTATCTGGCAACAAAACTGACACCTTTTTTACAAGGAGTCATGTTTGCATAGCCCACAATACCTGCAGTCATAATGCAAACAAAAAACATAACTCTGATAATGTATGCATTGTCCTTGAATTGCATTATGACTGCAGGTATTGTGGTCTATGCAAACATGACTCCTCGTAAAAAAAGGTGTCAAGTTTTGTTGCCAGATAAAAGGGTAAAACATTTTTTTATCATATTTTTTACTGGCAAATGAGGTTCCATTGGTGGTTCTGGTTCGTCAAATGGGGAGGAATGACGGACCGATCCGATCCCTGATCAAACTAATTATTTGGCGATGCTGCTCTTGCGCTGACAGTGGTGCACAAGCAAATAGAACACAAACCCAACATTTCCCAATAACAGCGCCGTAACAACAAACGTATACCATAGGCGACGTTTCGGGCAATGCCCCTTCATTGTACATAGAAAGGCAAACGAGGCAGAGTGAATAATGGCTGGGGACTGCACGGTACACCGGGCATGGTAGAGATCCCTGATCAGCACCTTTCTGCGTGACACCAGATATGGGGGTCAAGCATAACTTTGATGGAATTGTGTCATTCACAATCACTCGTAATCATAGTGGAGCCACGCCGCTAGGCCTGGAGCCAACCCCGACAAGTGCCTGAGCCACGGCGCTAGGCCTAGAACCACGCCGCTAAGCAAGGAGCCAACCCCGGCAGTGCCTGGCACCACGCCGCTAGGCCTTGGAGCCACGCCGCTAGGCTTTGAGCCACGCCGCTAGGCAAGGAGCCAACCCCGGCAGCGCCTGGCTCCACGCCGCTAGGCCTTGGAGCCACGCCGCTAGGCAAGAAGCCACCCCCGGCAGTGCCTGGCTCCACGCCGCTAGGCCTTGGAGCCACGCCGCTAGGCTTTGAGCCACGCCGCTAGGCAAGGAGCCAACCCCGGCAGCGCCTGGCTCCACGCCGCTAGGCCTTGGAGCCACGCCGCTAGGCTTTGAGCCACGCCGCTAGGCAAGAAGCCACCCCGCTAGGCCTTGGAGCCACGCCGCTAGGCTTTGAGCCACGCCGCTAGGCAAGAAGCCACCCCGCTAGGCCTTGGAGCCACGGCGCTATCCGAGGTTTCGGCGCCACTCACCTGCATGATAGTCTTGCGGATCTTCCACAGGCGGTACGTCTCCTCGTCGTCATCCATGGTGGGGCCCGGCTCCTGCTACTGCTGCTCGACCTCTCACGGGGACCCCCCGTCCCAGCGCCCTGCGAACCCCGCTCGGTCCCCTCGACCCGCGCTGCTGCTGCTGCTGCCCGCCTCGCCTGTCGCCGGACTGCGGTCCCCACTGGCCCAGCTACCACCACTACTACCACGGCCTGCTCGCTCCACGCCGCGAGTCGCTACTGCGCATGCGCGCGGTGCCAGCTCGGAGGTTTTTTTCTTTCCCCCCCCACTCCGCCTCGGCGATGAGAATCGATTATTTGAATCGTGCAACGATGGAATCGATTAGTGAGCTCCCACCGCGCACGTGGTCCGCATCGAGGGGCACCTAGCCTGGCACGAGGGGCACCTAGCCTGGTACGAGGTGCACCTAGCCTGGTACGAGATGCACCTAGCCTGGTACGAGGGGCACCTAGCCTGGTACGAGATGCACCTAGCCTGGTACGAGATGCACCTAGCCTGGTACGAGGTGCACCTAGCCTGGTACGAGATGCACCTAGCCTGGTACGAGGGGCACATAGCCTGGCACGAGATGCACCTAGCCTGGTACGAGATGCACCTAGCCTGGCACGAGGTGCACCTAGCCTGGTACGAGAGGCAACTACCTGGCACGAGGTGCACCTAGCCTGGCACGAGATGCACCTAGCCTGGTACGAGATGCACCTAGCCTGGCACGAGATGCACCTAGCCTGGCACGAGAAGCACCTAGCCTGACACGAGACGCACCTAGCCTGGCACGAGACGCACCTAGCCTGGTACGAGGGGCACCTAGCCTGGCACGAGACGCACCTAGCCTGGTACGAGGGGCACCTAGCCTGGTACGAGATGCACCTAGCCTGGTACGAGGTGCACCTAGCCTGGTACGAGATGCACCTAGCCTGGTACGAGGGGCACCTAGCCTGGTACGAGATGCACCTAGCCTGGTACGAGGTGCACCTAGCCTGGTACGAGATGCACCTAGCCTGGCACCAGGTGCACCTAGCCTGGTACGAGATGCACCTAGCCTGGCGCCAGGTGCACCTAGCCTGGTACGAGATGCACCTAGCCTGGCGATGTGAAACGTCGGCACGAGGGCGAGACGAAGCGGCCGGGCGATTGGTGGCGCCCACCCACCAATACCTTAATAGGCGCTCGCTAACAGCCGTCCGGGGAAGCAGACATTGCAGAACTGATGTCAGGGATTCCTTCCAGTGACGATGTGGCCACATTAGGGGGCAGCACTCACACATCTCTCCCGAATTGGGGTGTTTTTTGTTGTTGTGCGGTCACGGATCACGGGGCAGACTTGTCATCGATCTCAGTATCGATTTGAAGCTTTCGTGACTGCAGGGATGCATAGTCTTGGTTCTTTCGGTAAAGTCACTTTCATTATGGACGCCGTCTTTCCGACAGCTCTGTTCTTCGCCTGAGGACGGCTGCTTGCGTTGTGGCCGAAACGTCGTGAGAATTTTATTATGTTTTATTTTCATTGTTTTATTATTTCCCTTCTACGTGACTTTACCGAAAGATTATAGATTTGAAGCTTTCGTGACTGCAAGCATTCATATTCTTAGGTTTTTTCGGTAAAGTCACGTAGGTAAAAAATTAAAATTACTTGATACAGCTATTGTGCTGTGGCGGTTCCACCTGAAGACGGAAGCTTGTGTTGCCTCCGAAACGTCGTGATTTTTTTTATTTTTTTTATTTTACTTTTATTAATTTGAATTTTAAATTTTTATCTACGTGACTTTACCGAAAGAACCAAGAATAGTGTTGTCATCGCTCGTCTCGCTCGTCACGGGTGGGCCGTCCCTGTCCCGGCTTCAGCGACCGTGACCTCTGGTGGCCACACAACGCCTTATGGGCCCATGCCTGGCCAACCCCTTAGGGTCCGTCCATAAATGACGTCACGCGATTTTTGACCCCCCCCCCTCCCTTCGTCACACGGCGTCACAAAAAGTCAGACCCCCCTTCAAATATGACGTCACAAAGCTTTGCCCCCCCCCCCCAAAAAAAAAAACATGCTTCAAATTGAATAAACTATTGTCATTGTAGTGCGTATTTAATGTGGCGCTGCACTCTGATGTTGTAGGAGAAAACATGTATTAAAACGTCTATTTAATTAAGTAGAACGTGTTGTCTATATTTATTTAAAATTGCGCATTTTGATGTGACGTCACATTTCTCACCCCCCCCCCCTCGTCACACATCGTCACAAGTGTCTGACCCCCCCCCCCCCCTAGGTGCGTGACGTCTTTTATGGACGGCACCTTATCAGTGCCCTACCTCATTACGGACCCTGTTCACACCCGCATAATACAGGTTGGTGTTTTTTAGGGGGGTGAGATCGCGTATAAATATATAAAAGCGTCGTTAAACCCGCCACCACTCGACACAACCGATTAGTACGAGTTGTCTCGTAAGCAGAACGTGCCAATTCGCCTGTACAACCCTTACTAATTCACTGTGTCTGGTGGTGGCGGGCTGAACGACACATTTATATATTTACGCGATCTAACCCCCCCAAAAAACCCTGTATTATGGGTGATATTGGTCGCACAAGCCTACTCCGTGTTAAAACAATTCAGACCTGATGGGTCACCCCGTGCCCTTATAAATCTCAACGTTCATCCTACACAGTCCCATCACAAGGGAGAAACACAACACAAATAGACGAAAACAATTTATGTTTGCCCGTATTGAAACGGCTGTACGCCGTTCGGACGTGAAAACTCAATTTCCCTGTACAAGAATACGGGGTAAACCGTCTGGGTTGACAGGCAGGCGTGCGGCGATATGCTCAAGAGCTCGATGCCGATGTTGATGTCTGTTAGCCACGATGAGAGGGCTTCCCGCAGAGAGTGTGCGCGGGTTTCCCGACCATCCTCCGTTGAAGGAAGAGTGCAGACGGCCGCGGTGGGTTCACGATGGGGTCCGCAGCTTGGGTTGCGCGGCCACGGTCGAACGACCCGTGGCTTGTCTTTAGTTGCCAAACAATCTCGAGTTGAAGTTTTCGTGACTGCAGGAATCCATACTCTTTGGTTCTTTCGGTAAAGTCACGTTGGGTAGAACATAAATTGAATCACGACGTTTCGGACGCAACACAAGTGCCCGAAATGTCGTGATTTAATTTCATTTGTACCTACGTGACTTTACCGAAAGAACCAAAGAGTATGGATTTAGTTGCCCACTTGCGTGATGGAGGTGATGTCAGGGCATGGAGCCACGTAGCTCGACACGAGCTGTGTGGTTGCGAGAGGAAATTCTGACGCACGTTGAAGCCACGGCTGACACCGATCGATGGCTGTGGCCAGAGCCTTAATGATAACAATTTACATTTGTAAGGTGCGTTTCATCCGTAGACACGCCTCGTGTATGGACAGCAGGATATTGACAGCTAGTGGGAGGTAACGGCCAGTTTGAAGGAGTGAGTTTTCAAGACAGACTTAAATATATCTAACAATTCTCATTGTCTTTGGTTCTTTGTTTAGATTTTTTCACCTACGTGACTTTACCGAAAGAACCAAAGAGTATGGATCATTGTAGTCACGAAAACTTCAAATCTAGAATGAATTCGCATTGTCTTATTCTGTTTATACTTCGTTGAGCTAACATTTGTGATAGCCAAGTCGCTTCTGAAAAAGAACGAATTATCTTGGTGGGCTTTACCTTGTAAAATAAAAAAAACATTGTAATTTTAGCTTATTTAGTATTAGTAATTTGCTTACATTTCCTATACTTTGCGCGCCTTTGTTTTTATCGTATTGTTTGTTGTTGTAACGTTCTGACCCTCCCTTACTGGACATCTGCGAAGAAGAGAGAGATTTTTCCAGGATCAATATCCCGACTCAAGCCCCCCCCCAACCCCCGTCACGTCTTCCCCGCGCCAGGACCAGCGTCCTCCTCGCAGTCTCCCCCCAGCGACTCGCTCGCATTCACGTCGCCACGAACGCAACGAGGTTCAGCACCGAGACGCTTTCCCCGTCCCTCGCTCCCTCCTTCCCTCCCGCTTCTCCCGAGTTATCACGCCGCCTCCAGCAAACCGCACACCGCTCCACTCGCCATCAGCTCACGCCGATTTGTGCGTGGTGAGGCTGTAGTCCATCATAGAGAGGCGCGGGTGGCGGGGGGTTTTGGGTTAGATCGGGCAAATATAAATGCGTCGTTAAGGGGCCGTCCATAAATGACGTCACGCGATTTTGGACGATTTTTGACCCCCCCCCCCCCCTTCGTCACACGGCGTCACAAAAGTCAGACCCCCCACCTCAAATATGACGTCACAAAGCTCTGCTCCCCCCCCCAAAATAAAACATGCTTCAAATCGCTTTAAACTATTGTCATTGTAGTGCGTATTTAATGTGGCGCTGCAATGCGATGTTGTAGGAGAAAACATTTTTTTACGTCTATTTCATTAAGTAGAACGTGTTGTCTATATTTATTTAAAGTTGCGCATTTTGATGTGACGTCACATTTCTCAAACGTCACAAATGTCTGACCACCCCCTCCCTCTAGGTGCGTGACGTCATTTATGGACAGGCCAATTAGTAAAGCTTCGTCACGTAAACAGAACACGTGCCAATCAGCACACCGGCGTGTTGGAGAGTAAGCCCGCAACATTTACGGTTTTTAGTTACGCGATCTAACCACTAAAACAACTCTTACGGATAATATTGGTCGCCAAAGCAGCCTACCAAGAGTTAAACTGAGCCGGTCCTTGCGCTCCACGCTGGAGTGCGCGTGGCACTGTGCTCGCCTTACCCCCGGCGGGCACTGCCAAGGGCAACATCGCCTCGACTGGGCAGCTGTGAAAAACAAAGAGCTTTATAGATCATCGGACTCCTCCACTAGAAATAACGATTCTGATTCAGAACACAGCGTCCGAGTGAGCATACGCATCACACTCAGACATGCTTAATCCACTCCGATTAGCACGGTTGGCTACGTACGGTGAGAAAAAGTTGAACATGCAGGACATACATACAAAGGCCTCTCTCCCGAAGCGGGCACCATCTCGCACGTTCCAACGATTCGTACGTCCCGTCCCTTGTTCGTTACTATGTTGTTATTCTCGTCCACCGGTCATCATCCTTTCCATAAATTGTATCGGGGTGACACGTGGATAAATATATATATATAAATAAATGGTTACGCATTAACCAGCTCAGAATATGCTGACGACATGATCACTATGAAGTCAATT